CTGCTTGCAAAAGTGCTGCCACTGATGCCTCCCAGGACTCCATGTGCCATGGCTCCTCCCATCAAAAAGAAGCAAGAGTCAGCCAGGCATGGTGGCGCATGCCTGTAATCCCAGCACTTGGGAGGCTGAGGCAGGAGGATTGTTGGGAGTTCAAGACCAGCCTAGGCTACAAAGTGAGCTCCAGGCCAGTTTGAACTGCATAGTGAGACTCTGTCTCAACAAACAAACAAACAAACAAACAAACAAAAAGAGTCACTCTAAGCTTTACAGGTGCAGACGCCCTCCATTTCCTACATCCGTCACAGGCCTCCTGTGTCCATCAAAGAAGGGGACCCTGAAGACACAGAGTCACACTCAGATGCATGTGCAGCCAGGCAAGGTGGTGCACGCCTGTAATCTCAGCACTTGGGAGGCTGAGACAGGAGGATCATTGCAAGTTCAAGACCAGCCTGGGCTACGAGGTGAGCTCAAGGCCAGCCTGAACTGCATAGCGAGGCCCTGACTCAAAAAGACAAAACTAAGCAAAACAAAATAATAAATTTAGTAAGGGAGGAGGAGTAGCTGCACTCAGTGCTGTTACATGCCTTATCTCCTCTGAGCCCACTCCAACCCAGCCCTATAAGTAGATTCTGAATTGTTGCTATTGTACAGAAGAGGAAACTGAGGCATGGGGTTATCATGAGCACAACAGCAGTCTGGGTAACATGCTGAGCTGGTGTGGTCTTTGCCTTTCTGACAAGTCCAGGCTGGCACTGAACCGTGGGTCCCACTGGCTGGCTGGGCCATGTCCCAGGAGTGGTCCTGGGGCCTCAGGGAGGGGCATCCACTGTTTCTGGGAAGCAGAGTGGCTCAGACGGGAGTCTCAGCTCCACCCTCCCTGTATTCTCATTCCAGCTCCTCACCATGGCCCCTGAAGCTGGCACGACCGCAAGTACGAACTGCTCCAGTGTCTCCTCTTGCTGTGGCATCGCTGTTCCAGATGCCCCGGGCTTGCCATCTTCAGGCCTTTGTCCTGCTCTTCCTCTTCCCTTCCCTTCCCTTCCTCTGCTTAGACTGTCCTCCTCTGGCTTTAGCTCCTGCAGCCCTTCCTCCAGGAAGACCTCTCTGCCACAACCCTGTGTTGAGCTGTGTCCCTCTCCCCCTCTTGCCTCTGCCTTCCAGGTTCATCACTGTCTGGGGACAGTTCTGTCTCCCTCATTGCACTGTGAGTCACATGAGGCCTGCGTTCTAGTTCTTCTGGTCACTGCTGTGTCCCCACATAGTCGAGGGGACTCAGTAGGTGCTTAATAAATACTTGTCGAGCAAATAATTCATCACCATTTATTCATTCACTTACTCATTCACAGGTTCTGACAGACCCTAGGGAGAGACACCTGCCTCTGCCATCACTCTGGCTGGGGGAAGATGGCAGGGATCAGCTGCCAGCAGGAAACTGCCGGTCCGTGTTGTGCAGAGATCAGATGTTGAGCCAGCTCCTGGGACCATTTCAGCCACCTGGGACTGTGCACTCTGTCCAGGGTTGGAGGAAGGAGGTCTGCCTGACAGACTCCTAGCTGTGACAGACAGAAAGACAGACACACACACAGGGACAAGCACAGACAGACCCTCCTAGCATGCGCCAAGCTACAGAAAGCCTCAGACCCTTGCCTTTGTGCACACCGAGACCACTCTGCAAGGATATCACACAGACGCATGCCCATGTGCACATCCCAGTCACACACACCTCCACCTGTCTGCAGAGACACGCAGCTGCACACAAGCAAATGGGCAGAACTAGAACCCCAGGCCACCACCTGCACCCCCAGCCGGGGCTCTCAGATTCTCTGCAGCTCACGCAGACATTTCCCAGGGGCTGCTCAGCCACACGTGCACTCTCACTTGTCCAGCTGCATAAAAACCCACAGAATAAGGAACTCCGGGGCACTAAGAGGCCCGGAACCACACAGCCGCCTCCCCCATGGTGCAGCCTGCCGTCCACGCGCTCACAACTATGCACACTCGGGGTTTTGCATACATGCATGTGCAGGTACCCACGTGCAACCCAGACCGAAGCTGAGGGCTCAGGTTCGCTCAGATGCAGGTTATCTCAGGGCTGGGCCAGGGCTGCTGTCCGCTGCCCCCTGTGGGGGCCACTTCTCACCCGACCCCAACCCAGAGGCACACAGTATGACTAGGTGTCCCTGGCTACAACCATCTGGGCACTGAGTGCCAGGGGTACTCAGCGAGGAGGGAGCAAGCTGGGAGAGCTTCCTGGTGGAGGTGGTCTAGACAGCCGCCCTCAGATCTGGAAAGAGCTGGGTGAGGACGGCTTCCCTGAAGCACTCTCCTGAGTGTGGACCTGGAGACCAAAGCAGAGGTGGGGGGGGGGCTCAGAAGTAGGACCAGACCAAGGTGGCAAGGGTGACCCCTTTAGAGACCTTTCTGCCTGCACTTAAAGATACAAATAATATGAGTAGGATTCATAATAAAAACTGAGAGCCACTGAGAAAACGAACCATACCAGGCACAATACTATACAGCTCCTCTGTTTTCGTGTTTAGCACCCGCTCCAGTAAAACTACCCGCCTCTGTGCTTCTGAGGAACCCGTGGCCCTGCCACTATCCACAGAATCCTCTCTCACTGAGCTACAGTCCCAGCCCTTAGCCTTGTTTTAAAGAGAAAATGAATTAATCTGTAAAATGCCTAGAACAGTGCCTGGCAGACCACGCAATCCTCACAAGCGCAAGTTACTAATAATCATGGTGATGAAATCACATACTGTGATTAATAGAGTAATGGTGATTATTACTGCCTCTTGGCAGCTACGAAAACGGCATGGTGAGCTCTGGGGTCCTGGGTGGATTTTTGGCCCTGCGTCCCCACACTAGCTCTGTCCTTGCCTGCGTCGTTAAGGGCGTGTCTGAGCGCACTGTCTGGCCATTCTATTGTTCTCTGACCCACTGTCTCCCAACTTTGTGATTCTCTGCGCAAACACGGGCCCCATCCTACACCCTCTCCCTCGCTGGTCACCCAGCCGCACTGCCCACAAGCCACAGCGTCCCCGTCACAGGAATGCTTCCTCCTCACTGGCCCAGGGGCCTCCCCAGCGGATCTCCTCCCCCACCCTGCTCTTCCTGCACCGCTGGGATGGGACGTCTGTGGCTGGGCTCGGTGGACTCCGGCTGTAACCACTCGGTCCCTGACTCAGGCCGGGACTCTCTCATTGACCCCAGCGCGGCCTGCGCGCCCCCGCAGCCAGACAGCCATGCGGGGGCGTCCTGGGGGGGGTCACAGGCGGCCACGTGCCCAGCCCCATTCGGTCTGTGATTCAGTCCGCTTGTCTAGGCCACCAGGGGTGCCCTGGGCTGGTGATGTCAGCGGCCAGGTATGCGGCTGGGGTTTCTCTGAGGTGACTCAGGCCCAGCTACCCTTTTCCTCAGGCAGACACTCTGGGCATCTGTCCAGGGCAGGCGGCTGCTGGCGGCCTGATGCTGCCTTCCCGGCCCCCTCCACGCCCTCCAAAATCCAGAGCTGTGGGAACAGCAGGGCCAGAGACAGGCACTGCACGGGGAGGTCTCAGAGGCAAGGACCCAGCCAGAGCGGGCAGCCCACAAAGCCTTCCCCACCTGGCCCTAAGAGCAGGACTCACAGGTGGCTGTGGATGATGCAGCTCGTTCATTCATTCATTCATTCGTCCCTCCAAGCAGCCAATGGAACACTGAATCGGCACCCAGTGCTGGAGACAGCAAGAAACGGGACCGGCAAGGACTCCTCGCAAAGCCTCGGTTGCAGGCTGCAGCTCTTCCTTCTTTTTATTATTGTTTCCTCCCGGATTCACCAAGTTGCAAGGTTCAGGCTGATTTTTTGTTTGTTTGTTTGTTTGTTTGTTTGTTAATTTTCAGGCTGATTTCTGCTCTACCATCGAGCTGTTTGTGAAAACGCTCGGCCTCCAGACAGCCCTTGGAGAAAGTCCTTTCTGGAGTCTGCCCTTCAGAAAGATCAGAAGGCACTTTCTCTTGCCCTTTGGCCTCTTCAAGTTCCTAGTCCTGCTGGGTGTTTCAAACTATTCCCCCTAACCACACCTTCATCTGCACCCCCAATGTGCACCCCAAAGTCATGACCCCCACTGGGCCTGTGCTGACACTGGGATCCTGACTTCCAGGCGACTTCATGTGGGCACAGCCGTGCCTAGAGAAGGCCTGTGATGATGCCCATTTCATAGGAGAGAAACTGAGACTAAGGTTTTGGTTCCCACTGGCACAGGACCCCACAGCTAGACCCAGACTTTGACATGCACAGAAAGGCACACAACTAAAATGAGGGTTTTGTAAATGTCTGTTTTGTGCTAACCACTTTCTGAACACTTTTTTCAACCCCTGGGATTGAACCCAGGGCCTTTGCACTGAACTACATCCCCAGCCCTCTAGCCTTCTTTTTTTTTTTTTTTTTTTTTGGTACTAGGAATCAAACTCAGGACCTTGAATTTGCCAAGCAGGTGCTGGGTTATGTTTTATTCTGGGATGAGGTGGTCATGCTAAGTCATTAAGTTGCCCAAGTGGGGCTCCAAACTAGTAATCCTTCTGCCTCAGCCTTCCACAGGGCTGGGGATAGAGGCATGCACCAGGCCTGTCCCTACATACTTTCTATATGAATTTATTTACTCCCATCCATCTCATGACTGGGTATAGTTTTTTTGTTTGTTTGTTTGTTTTTTTCTGGTACCGGGAATCGAACTCATGACCTTGAGTTTGCCAGGCAGGCGCTGTGCCGCTGAGCTAAATCCCCAGCCCTGTGACTGGGTACAGTTATGCCCATTTGACTGGGGGACCTGACACTAATGCAGCAAAAAAACACACAGGTCATGTCCAAAAATATTGTGTGAGGCCATATGTGCCGCAAACTTTGTTGGGTGCTGAAAATTAGTGCGTGCAGCCCAATACAGCTCAAGGGAACCTTGTGTGCTCTGACCACCAAGGCTACCCAGCGGACAATCCCTGAGAAGCACAGCCACACAGATATGTGCACTTGACACGGACGTTTGTGAGGTGTTTATTCATTTTGTCATCGAGTAATTACTGAGGACTCACTGTGTTCCCGGCAGTGCTAGGGACCCAGTGGCAACCATGGCAGCCCTGGGCCACGCCCAACAGCATGTGTGGTTGTTGAGTTCAGGAGACAGACAATAAAGAAATGAGCAAATACATCATTCACCATTAGAAATCATGATAATTACCAGGAGGGGACCTCTGAGACAGTCTGCACACAAACGCAGGTACCCGCCCACTTACACACAGAGATCTGGGAACACGCGTGTGTGAACACACGCAGAGGCAGAAGTACATGGGTAAAACCATACACATCCACAGGCACTACTCACGGTTTCACAAGGATGAGATTCAGAAGCACACACACATCCACATCTGCACAGTCCATACACCCAGTCACAAATGCAGACTCGGACACCACTGCCTCTGTCTCACACAACGGAAGCCCTGGGAGGGTCCTCACCCAGGAAATGCTGCTACATGTGTCTATTGTCCCCAACACTCACTCACCTACAGTCACATCCACTCATGCTGTCACACACCCAACTTCTCTCTGCTCAGAGATTCGCCCCAGCCCTGGTCACATGAAGCCACGGGATGAGGGTGTCGGGTGTGTTGTGGGGATGAGTTATCAGAACCTCCCGCTGTGGACTGCTTTCCAGACACCGGACGGAAAGACCGAGGCGGCTGCCTGTGTGCTGGAAGGCGCGAGAAAGACAGGCAAGCACCAGGGGAAGCGCAGCGGGCCAGGGCGGGGGGAAGCTCGGCGGGGACCCCAATCGCCGCAGTGCACTCGTGGGAACCCCAATCGCCGCAATTCACCCAGAAACCCCAGAGGCCGAGGAGAAAGCGGCAAGCCTGACAAGCGCGTTGCCTCTAGTTGGTTATTAATGGGTGAATGAGACATTCATGGCACGAGACGGCGAGACCTGCCGGGGAAGAGGGGGCGAGACCCACAGAGACCCAAACGGAGGCGGTCCCGGGGCAGACGGGAGGAGCGGGTGACAGGCAGATGGCTGCTGTCTAAAGGGAAACCGGCAATTTGGGGACCCGGTTCTCCCCCGCTGCCATCACCGCAGTCTCCCCCCGCCCAAGCTCCCGGTCGTCCGGTCTGTCGGCCCGGGCTGGTCCTGGCTGAGCTCTGTGCGGCCGCGCCGCCTGGCCTGGGACAAACAACCCTCACGTTGCTAGGTGATGGCGTTCCACAGGCCGTCGCGTCACCGCGTCTGCGCGGGCGGGAGGGGTTGGGGGGCGCTCAGAGACAACGG